CCTCCCCCTCCTCTCTCTCTCTTAAAGGGACAGGCGACCTCGCTGTTATAAACAGGACAACCAGAGAGAGAGAGAACCGGAGAGAAAACCGGAGAGAGAGAGAGACAGAAAACTGGAGAGAGAGAGACAGAAAACTGGAGAGAGAGAGAGAGACAGAAAATTGGAGAGAGAGAGACAGAAAACCGGAGAGAGAGAGAGAAAGAGAGAACCGGAGGAGTCCCGGTCCCTCTGCTCGGTGGGTGTGAGCAGCATGGAGTTGTTTTGACCGGACACAGAGCGACCTGCTCCCGGTGAGAGGATGACAGGAGCTGTCACCGTGCTGCTGCTCAGCGCTGCCTTCACTGCCGCCCGGTCCCTGAACGCACCGCGGGACAGGCTGACCGGTAACGATTTACGGGTTTTTGAGTCTTTTAGCCACGTTTTTCAAACCGTATTTACATGTATGAGATCAGCTGTTAGTGTGATCCAGAGGAGGGGAGTACATTTACTCAAGTACCGTACTGAAGTACACTTTAATGTACTTTCTTAAGTACATTCAATGCTTTGTTCTTAAACTCCATTATAATTCAAAGGGAAATCATGTCATTTAACTCCACATCATTGATTTAACAGCTTTGGCTACTTTGAACAAAATGCACCTCTTTTATTTGTATTGTTTAATGTCTTATATATTTGTTGTATTGTTGGAGGAGCTCAGGACTCCAGATGTCTGACCTGGAGCTCTGTGCATGTGATGATAAAGCCTTTGACATTAGGAAACTAGTGAAGTCACAAAGAGTGAAAACATTTAGCTAAAAGTCCATCAGATCTGTGTTAGTCTACCACAGTTCAATGTGATGCAACAATATGATGTAGAAATGTCTCATAACTATAACTAGTTAATGTAAGGACCTCTGCATCTCTCTGGTTGAACTGTGAAGCACCTTCAGATGACGTGTTATTATTATTCTATAATATATCATTATGAAGCACACGGAGAATATGGTTTCACTGTTTAAACACAAATAATATACTGTATACATCCCCTGTACATGATGTATGACTTAAGTGTGTTAGTGTAAATGAGTAACGCTCAAATTCAGCTCAAAGTGAAGGTAGCATGGTGTGTGTGTGACCGTGTGTGTGTGAGTGTGAGACTGTGTGTGTGTGTGTGTGACCGTGTGTGTGTGAGTGTGAGACTGTGTGTGTGTGTGTGTGTGACCGTGTGTGTGTGAGTGTGAGACTGTGTGTGTGTGTGTGAGACTGTGTGTGTGTGTGACCGTATGTGTGAGTGTGAGACCGTGTGTGAGTGTGAGACCGTGTGTGAGTGTGAGACTGTGTGTGTGTGTGTGTGAGTGTGAGACTGTGTGTGTGACCGTGTGTGAGACTGTGTGTGTGACCGTGAGTGTGTGACCGTGTGAGTGTGAGACCGTGTGTGAGTGTGAGACCGTGTGTGTGTGTGTGTGTGACCGTGTGTGTGTGAGTGTGAGACTGTGTGTGTGACCGTGTGTGTGTGAGACTGTGTGTGTGTGACCGTGAGTGTGTGACCGTGTGAGTGTGAGACCGTGTGTGAGTGTGAGACCGTGTGCGTGTGACCGTGTGTGTGTGTGAGTGTGAGACCGTGTGTGTGACCGTGTGTGTGTGTGAGTGAGACTGTGTGTGGGTGTGAGAGACCGTGTGTGTGTGACCGTGTGTGTGTGACCGTGTGTGACCGTGTGTGTGTGTGAGACCGTGTGTGTGTGAGTGTGAGACCGTGTGTGTGACCGTGTGTGTGTGTGTGAGACTGTGTGTGTGTGTGTGTGACCGTGTGTGAGTGTGAGACCGTGTGCGTGTGTGTGTGACCGTGTGTCAGAGTTTCCCGTATCCGGTAATTACCGGACAATGACCGGTAAAATATGCTGAAGTCCGGCAAATCTAAATCTCTCCGGTCAAAATGTCCGGTCAAAATAATTTTCCCTTAGCGCAATACCGCATCAGTTGCGCCACTTATGTGACAGACAAGAATAGTATGTGACAGACAAAAGAGTATGTGACAGACAAAAATTGTCAATTCTAATGTCTAACACTTAATGTGGAGAAAGAGATGTCCTGTATGGGTTGATTGTGCGTTGATCTGTTGGTAATGCCTCGGGGTTCCGGTGGGCATGTAAACAAATGCATAATGCTGCGCTATACTTTGTGGCCTCATCCGGTTGCATAGCGACGCTTATTGTTTAGGTGTCTTTTAACAAGCAGGTAGTCATATCATTAGCTAGAACTAGCTAGATCTGATCGATATGGACATAAATGCGAGTAAAGTCTAATCTGACAGGAGAGAGAGATCGGCATGCTTGCTGACGAGTCGACACGCAGCTCTGCATGATCCCCTGCAGCGGCGAGCAGAGCAAAACACACTTCAGGTTAGAAAATCACACGTAGCTATTTTAATTACCTCTCAAACTACCTAAACTAGTTATAGATATGTTTAGTTTTACTGTCGGGTCACTCATTACTGGATCCGCGAGCTGCATGATACTGACGGGCTGTCAGGAGAAGGAGAGAGCGCTCCGTTTATTATTCCCGCGTTTTTGTAAATTACTGTACACTTTTGAATAATGTAGTTAATCTACTATAATTAGTTTGTTTAATGTCGAATCATATCAATTTGTTTTAAAGCTCAATAAATAACAAAGAAGACCTTTAAACCGGCACTTATCTAATTTTGTCCGGAAGATTTCAACTTTAACGGACATGTTGACCGGCAAAAAAATATTCTAACGGGAACTCTGCCGTGTGTGTGTGAGTGTGTGACCGTGTGTGTGTGTGACCGTGTGTGTGTGACCGTGTGTGTGTGAGTGTGAGACCGTGTGTGTGACCGTGTGTGTGTGAGTGTGCGACTGTGTGTGTGTGACCGTGAGTGTGTGACCGTGTGTGAGTGTGAGACCGTGTGCGTGTGTGTGTGTGACCGTGTGTGTGTGTGAGTGTGAGACCGTGTGTGTGACCGTGTGTGTGAGTGAGACTGTGTGTGGGTGTGAGAGACCGTGTGTGTGTGACCGTGCGTGTGACCGTGTGTGTGTGACCGTGTGTGTGTGTGAGTGTGTGACCGTGTGTGTGTGTGACCGTGTGTGTGTGTGTGAGACCGTGTGTGTGAGTGTGAGACCGTGTGTGAGTGTGAGACCGTGTGTGAGTGTGAGACCGTGTGTGTGTGACCGTGTGTGTGTGAGTGTGAGACCGTGTTTGTGTGTGTGTGACCGTGTGTGTGTGAGTGAGACTGTGTGTGGGTGTGAGAGACCGTGTGTGTGTGACCGTGTGTGTGTGAGTGTGTGACCGTGTGTGTGTGTGACCGTGTGTGTGTGACCGTGTGTGTGAGTGTGTGACCGTGTGTGTGACCGTGTGTGTGAGTGTGTGACCGTGTGTGTGTGACCGTGTGTGTGTGAGTGAGACTGTGTGTGGGTGTGAGAGACCGTGTGTGTGTGACCGTGTGTGTGTGAGTGTGTGACCGTGTGTGTGTGACCGTGTGTGTGTGACCGTGTGTGTGAGTGTGTGACCGTGTGTGTGTGACCGTGTGAGTGAGTGTGAGACCGTGTGTGAGTGTGAGACCGTGTGTGAGTGTGAGACCGTGTGTGAGTGTGAGACCGTGTGTGTGTGACCGTGTGTGTGAGACCGTGTGTGTGAGTGTGAGACCGTGTGTGTGAGTGTGAGACCGTGTGTGAGTGTGAGACCGTGTGTGTGTGAGTGTGAGACCGTGTGTGTGTGTGAGTGTGAGACCGTGTGTGTGTGTGAGACCGTGTGTGAGTGTGAGACCGTGTGTGTGTGAGTGTGAGACCGTGTGTGTGTGTGTGAGACCGTGTGTGAGTGAGTGTGAGACCGTGTGTGTGTGTGTGTGAGACCGTGTGTGTGAGTGTGAGAACCTGTGTGTGTGTGTGTGACTGTGAGACTGTGTGTGTGTGCGAGAGACCGTGTGTGTGTGACCGTGTGTGTGTGTGAGTGTGAGACCGTGTGTGTGACCGTGTGTGTGTGAGTGAGACTGTGTGTGGGTGTGAGAGACCGTGTGTGTGTGTGACCGTGTGACCGTGTGTGTGTGAGTGTGTGACCGTGTGTGTGTGTGACCGTGTGTGTGAGTGTGAGACCGTGTGTGAGTGTGAGACCGTGTGTGTGAGTGTGAGACCGTGTGTGTGAGTGTGAGACCGTGTGTGAGTGTGAGGCCGTGTGTGTGTGAGTGTGAGACCGTGTGTGTGAGTGTGAGACCGTGTGTGTGAGTGTGAGACCGTGTGTGAGTGTGAGACCGTGTGTGTGTGAGTGTGAGACCGTGTGTGTGTGTGAGTGTGAGACCGTGTGTGTGTGTGAGACCGTGTGTGAGTGTGAGACCGTGTGTGTGTGAGTGTGAGACCGTGTGTGTGTGTGAGTGTGAGACCGTGTGTGAGTGTGAGACCGTGTGTGTGTGAGTGTAAGACCGTGTGTGTGTGTGTGAGACCGTGTGTGTGTGTGTGAGACCGTGTGTGAGACCGTGTGTGTGTGTGTGAGACCGTGTGTGAGACCGTGTGTGAGACCGTGTGTGTGTGAGTGTGAGACCGTGTGTGTGAGTGTGAGACCGTGTGTGTGTGAGTGTGAGACCGTGTGTGTGTGTGAGTGTGAGACCGTGTGTGTGTGTGTGAGACCGTGTGTGTGTGAGTGTGAGACCGTGTGTGTGAGACCGTGTGTGTGAGTGTGAGACTGTGTGTGTGTGTGTGTGTGTGTGAGACCGTGTGTGTGTGGGTGTGAGACCGTGTGTGTGTGTGTGTGTGTGTGTGTGTGTGACTGTGAGACTGTGTGTGTGTGTGTGTGTGAGAGACCGTGTGTGTGTGTGTGTGAGACCGTGTGTGTGTGTGTGTGTGTGTGTGACTGTGAGACTGTGTGTGTGTGTGTGTGAGAGACCGTGTGTGTGTGTGTGTGAGACCGTGTGTGTGTGAGACTGTGTGTGTGTGGGAGACTGTGTGTGTGTGTGTGTGTGAGACCGTGTGTGTGTGAGACTGTGTGTGTGTGTGTGTGTGTGTGTGTGTGTGTGTAACCATATGTGTGTGTGTGAGACCGTGTGTGTGTGTAAGTGGGGGAAAGTGAGTGTGTGTGTGAGCTTTAACTTAATTGGATGCTTGCCCGTTGCTAGGTAGCTAATCTGAGGCTATAAGCTAGCAGCTAACGGTAAACCCTCTGCTCACCTTCCTGCTGATTGGTTTAGAAGTTGCAGTGAATCAGAATGAAACCTGAACGCCTTCCTCTGGAATCACACGTGGAGGCTTTCTGCTACTAAACTACGCCGTCTACATTTTGAACAAGAACAAACTAAACTAAACCTCTCAGTAAATCTGAACAATCTCTCAGATCTCTGTTGAATCGTCTCAGTCTGATTACTCCGTGTTCATGTGTGCATGGAGATATATATATATATATATATATATATATATATATAGCCTGGTAGCTGCTCATAGGCAGACTGCATGCTGGGACATTCACACAAGTAGCATACATTGCTTCAATTAGCATCTACAGGCAATAGCTCATACTGGCTTGTCAGATTTGGACAGTTTTGAAGTGGTTTGGGGGGTGATGTTCATCTGGTGCTCTGTGCCCAACACGACACACACACACACACACACACACACACACACACACACACACACACACACACACACACACACACACACACACACACACACACACACACACACACACACACACACACACACGATGGTTGTTATTGTTCTGGGTGTTTCCTTTATGTCTGTATAACTGTAGAGACTACCTGAGGAGAAGGACTGTTTCATGAGATCTATAAACCTTCCTCTCACAGGAGAGCTGCTCTGAACACGGTGGAACTAAACCCTTTTTGTTTACAGAGCTTTGAGTAGACTTCATAATGAGGTTCAGAGAAATGCCCTGGCTTTACTGACGGTTCAATAAGTTCACAACAAGAGTACAGTCAAAGCTGTGTGTGCAGCTCGAGGGAATCGAGTTGTATAGCGCTTCTCCTAATGCTCAAAGACGCTTATCGGTCATAATTCTCTCTAAAATCTATTTCATATTGCTGGGAAAGAAACTACATTTTACAAGATGACATTGAACACATCATGGTTAAGCAATCATTTACCTTTCGCCAAGTTCTAAGAGCCTGAACGTCGCATAGTGCAACTCAATGGAAACTTCGTTAGCTGTTAGCTTCTCGTTATTTAGCACGACTGTACTTCGACTGCTAACCGCTAACTGCTAACGGTAGCTCTGCTGCTGATTGGTTGTCACGGCGCAGCGTTATCAGGTGTCCAGTAATAATGATAAATGAGTGTAAACTTCTTCCCACTTCTTTCCAGATGTGTAATCAGATCATTTGTTTATAGATCATTTGTAAGTCAATAATATTTTAGTTTATCAATTTGATACTGCTGAAGTTTGTACAGTCTCATAATTCTCTTGTTTCATTATTATTATTATTTTTTGGATTATTGTTTTACATGTTCTAATCAAATCAAATGAGAAGTCCTGAATGCTAATGTTCTGTTAGCATAGTGTTCTGAATGTTGTCCGGTATCCTGCCGTTCCGACCAATCGCTGACCTGCGTGTTTGTGCTCAGACAGGCGCCCCCTGCTGGAGAAAACCCGTCCCTTCATCCTGGTGGACGGAGAGAGGAGGAGCCTCGCTGAAGCTCTGCAGGTATGATTGGCTCTCCATTATCCAGGGATATGATTGGCTGTTGGTCTCCATTATCCAGGGATGTCATTGGCTGTTGGTCTCTATTATCCAGGGATATGATTGGCTGTTGGTCTCCATTATCAAGGGATGTCATTGGCTGTTGGTCTCCATTATCCAGGGATGTCATTGGCTGTTGGTCTCCATTATCCAGGGATATGATTGGCTGTTGGTCTCTATTATCCAGGGATATGATTGGCTGTTGGTCTCCATTATCAAGGGATGTCATTGGCTGTTGGTCTCCATTATCCAGGGATGTCATTGGCTATTGGTCTCCATTATCAAGGGATATTATTGGCTGTTGGTCTCCATTATCCAGGGATGTCATTGGCTGTTGGTCTCCATTATCAAGGGATGTCATTGGCTGTTGGTCTCCATTATCCAGGGATGTCATTGGCTGTTGGTCTCCATTATCCAGGGATGTCATTGGCTGTTGGTCTCCATTATCCAGGGATGTCATTGGCTGTTGGTCTCCATTATCCAGGGATATGATTGGCTGTTGGTCTCCATTATCCAGGGATGTCATTGGCTGTTGGTCTCTATTATCCAGGGATGTCATTGGCTGTTGGTCTCCATTATCAAGGGATGTCATTGGCTGTTGGTCTCCATTATCCAGGGATGTCATTGGCTGTTGGTCTCTATTATCCAGGGATGTCATTGGCTGTTGGTCTCCATTATCAAGGGATATTATTGGCTGTTGGTCTCCATTATCAAGGGATGTCATTGGCTGTTGGTCTCCATTATCAAGGGATATTATTGGCTGTTGGTCTCCATTATCCAGGGATATGATTGGCTGTTGGTCTCTATTATCCAGGGATATGATTGGCTGTTGGTCTCCATTATCAAGGGATGTCATTGGCTGTTGGTCTCCATTATCCAGGGATGTCATTGGCTATTGGTCTCCATTATCAAGGGATATGATTGGCTGTTGGTCTCCATTATCAAGGGATGTCATTGGCTGTTGGTCTCTATTATCCAGGGATGTCATTGGCTGTTGGTCTCTATTATCCAGGGATGTCATTGGCTGTTGGTCTCCATTATCCAGGGATATGATTGGCTGTTGGTCTCCATTATCCAGGGATGTCATTGGCTGTTGGTCTCCATTATCCAGGGATGTCATTGGCTGTTGGTCTCCATTATCCAGGGATATGATTGGCTGTTGGTCTCTATTATCCAGGGATATTATTGGCTGTTGGTCTCCATTATCCAGGGATGTAATTGGCTGTTGGTCTCCATTATCCAGGGATATTATTGGCTGTTGGTCTCCATTATCCAGGGATGTCATTGGCTGTTGGTCTCCATTATCCAGGGATATGATTGGCTGTTGGTCTCTATTATCCAGGGATATTATTGGCTGTTGGTCTCCATTATCCAGGGATGTCATTGGCTGTTGGTCTCCATTATCCAGGGATATGATTGGCTGTTGGTCTCTATTATCCAGGGATATTATTGGCTGTTGGTCTCCATTATCCAGGGATGTCATTGGCTGTTGGTCTCTATTATCCAGGGATGTCATTGGCTGTTGGTCTCCATTATCAAGGGATGTCATTGGCTGTTGGTCTCCATTATCCAGGGATGTCATTGGCTGTTGGTCTCTATTATCCAGGGATGTCATTGGCTGTTGGTCTCCATTATCAAGGGATATTATTGGCTGTTGGTCTCCATTATCAAGGGATGTCATTGGCTGTTGGTCTCCATTATCCAGGGATGTCATTGGCTGTTGGTCTCCATTATCAAGGGATGTCATTGGCTGTTGGTCTCCATTATCCAGGGATGTCATTGGCTGTTGGTCTCCATTATCAAGGGATGTCATTGGCTGTTGGTCTCCATTATCAAGGGATGTCATTGGCTGTTGGTCTCCATTATCCAGGGATGTCATTTGCTGTTGGTCTCCATTATCCAGGGATATGATTGGCTGTTGGTCTCCATTATCAAGGGATGTCATTGGCTGTTGGTCTCCATTATCAAGGGATGTCATTGGCTGTTGGTCTCCATTATCAAGGGATGTCATTGGCTGTTGGTCTCCATTATCAAGGGATGTCATTGGCTGTTGGTCTCCATTATCAAGGGATGTCATTGGCTGTTGGTCTCCATTATCAAGGGATGTCATTTGCTGTTGGTCTCCATTATCCAGGGATATGATTGGCTGTTAAGGAGTAATCTTTCTTTTATTTGATGCATCCCGTTGAATATTCGTTGTATGATTTCCTGGCAGACTTGAAGTGAGGAAGTCCACCATCTCTCTGCCTTGATCTGGTTCTCCTCATGTGTAATGGATCTCTGTTTAAATAAAGTTATTCAAAGCGTTCTGTCTCTCGTCAGGAAGACGCTTTTGTATATTTCAGTGGCAGGAAGTCTCTCTTCATTAACGGTCGGGAGTGTTTCAGTCATAAGAGACAGGAAGGCAGGCAACGTTTCATCAGGAGGGGGGGAGGGTGTTAGAGGACGGACACTTCCTGTGCAGCTGACAGCAGATCTGACATCATTTCCTGTTCAACCGGTAGATGAGCAGAACACCAAACACACAGCAACTTTTAAATGGCTGAATTATTAACTTCATGGTTTTTCAAGTCAATTCATTATAAAGACAGGAAGTGAATTGGAAAAGCTCAAACTATTCCCTGGTGGATGTTTCATTTGGATTATTGGTGGGATACAATTCATTATTTGAAGACGTAAAGTTGAACTATTTCAGATTTTGAGTCGAAAAATGTAAATACAATCATGAGACAAAATGAAAGATACACCTGAACATCAGCAGGAGAGGACTCTTTAAAGTAGAGACACTACATACTGATATACACCTGAACATCAGCAGGAGAGGACTCTTTAAAGTAGAGACACTACATACTGATATACAGCTGAACATCAGCAGGAGAGGACTCTTTAAAGTAGAGACACTACATACTGATATACACCTGAACATCAGCAGGAGAGGACTCTTTAAAGTAGAGACACTACATACTGATATACACCTGAACATCAGCAGGAGAGGACTCTTTAAAGTAGAGACACTACATACTGATATACAGCTGAACATCAGCAGGAGAGGACTCTTTAAAGTAGAGACACTACATACTGATATACACCTGAACATCAGCAGGAGAGAACTCTTTAAAGTAGAGACACTACATACTGATATACACCTGAACATCAGCAGGAGAGGACTCTTTAAAGTAGAGACACTACATACTGATAAACACTTGAACATCAGCAGGAGAGGACTCTTTAAAGTAGAGACACTACATACTGATATACACCTGAACATCAGCAGGAGAGGACTCTTTAAAGTAGAGACACTACATACTGATATACACCTGAACATCAGCAGGAGAGGACTCTTTAAAGTAGAGACACTACATACTGATATACACCTGAACATCAGCAGGAGAGGACTCTTTAAAGAAGAGACACTACATACTGATATACACCTGAACATCAGAGGAGAGGACTCTTTAAAGTAGAGACACTACATACTGATAAACACTTGAACATCAGCAGGAGAGGACTCTTTAAAGTAGAGACACTACATACTGATATACACCTGAACATCAGAGGAGAGGACTCTTTAAAGTAGAGACACTACATACTGATAAACACTTGAACATCAGCAGGAGAGGACTCTTTAAAGTAGAGACACTACATACTGATATACACCTGAACATCAGCAGGAGGGACTCTTTAAAGTAGAGACACTACATACTGATATACACCTGAACATCAGCAGGAGAGGACTCTTTAAAGTAGAGACACTACATACTGATATACACCTGAACATCAGCAGGAGAGGACTCTTTAAAGTAGAGACACTACATACTGATATACACCTGAACATCAGCAGGAGAGGACTCTTTAAAGTAGAGACACTACATACTGATATACACCTGAACATCAGCAGGAGAGGACTCTTTAAAGTAGAGACACTACATACTGATATACACCTGAACATCAGCAGGAGAGGACTCTTTAAAGTAGAGACACTACATACTGATATACACCTGAACATCAGCAGGAGAGGACTCTTTAAAGTAGAGACACTACATACTGATATACACCTGAACATCAGCAGGAGAGGACTCTTTAAAGTAGAGACACTACATACTGATATACACCTTGAACATCAGCAGGAGAGGACTCTTTAAAGTAGAGACACTACATACTGATATACACCTGAACATCAGCAGGAGAGGACTCTTTAAAGTAGAGACACTACATACTGATATACACCTGAACATCAGCAGGAGAGGACTCTTTAAAGTAGAGACACTACATACTGATATACACCTGAACATCAGCAGGAGGAGGACTCTTAAAGTAGAGACACTACATACTGATAACACCTGAAACATCAGCAGGAGAGGACTCTTTAAAGTAGAGACACTACATACTGATATACACCTGAACATCAGCAGGAGAGGAACTCTTTAAAGTAGAGACCTACATACTGATATACACCTGAACATCAGCAGGAGAGGACTCTTTAAAGTAGAGACACTACATACTGATATACACTGAACATCAGAGGAGGACTCTTTAAAGTAGAGACACTACATACTGATAAACACTGAACATCAGCAGGAGAGGACTCTTTAAAGTAGAGACACTACATACTGATATACACCTGAACATCAGCAGGAGAGGACTCTTTATAGTAGAGACACTACATACTGATATACACCTGAACATCAGCAGGAGAGGACTCTTTAAAGTAGAGACACACATACTGATATACACCTGAACATGCAGGAGAGGACTCTTTAAAGTAGAGACACTACATACTGATATACACCTGAACATCAGCAGGAGAGGACTCTTTAAAGTAGAGACACTACATACTGATATACACCTGAACATCAGCAGGAGAGGACTCTTTAAGTAGAGACACTACATACTGATATACACCTGAACATCAGCAGGAGAGGACTCTTTAAAGTAGAGACACTACATACTGATAATACACCTGA